GGCCCCCCGGGGGCGCCCCCCCCCCCCCCCCCCCCCCCAGTGACGCCACTGGACCTAGTCAAACTATGCAATCAATTGGTATCCAATCAGGCCCTCACACTACATGGCAAAGTAGAGCGTACAATCAGATTGCAACGTGTGATGAGCTTTACAGGACATTAACCAGGGGCGTCCCAGGGCTGGGTGTCACCTGGAGTGGATACAGGGTGACAACCCTCCGTGACGTCATCGCACATGCGCGTGATGTCAACCATTCACCCGGCGGGATAAGGTATGCCGCCAGGTCCCCTCCTCTCTCCTGCAACTATCGGGCTCTCAGTCCATGACCCCAAGCCTATACCAGGTGACACCTTGCCGTGACATCTTCGCAGAATGCGCGGCCATCTTGGTGATGGACGCCGGCAGAGAGAGGAGGGGACGTTCACCCAGCAAGATAAGGTATGCCGCCACGTCCCCTCCTCTCTCCTGCAACTGTCGGGCTCTCGGTCCATGACCCCGAACGAATACCAGGTGACACTTTGCCGTGATGTCATCGCACATGCGTGGCCAACTTTGTGGTGGACGCCGGCAGAGAGATAAAGTATGCCGCCGGGTCCCCTCCTCTCTCCTGACACTGTCGGGCGTTCGGTCCATGACCGAGTGCCCAAATTTTCACTGGGGGTGACACCAAAATGACTGTCAGTCATTTTAGTGTCACCCCTCCAATGGTGTCACCCGGGTGCGGGCCCCACCCCCCTTGTGACGCCAGTGACATCCACCCTTTCTTTATTTCCTTCCCTCCAACTGTAAAATTGTTGCAATATAAACAGTAATAAAAAGAGAACGGCGAGAGTACAAAGCGATGGAAGAGGGGAAAGTGTTGAGTTCAGGAGCCGAGGAGGGAGGGGGGGGGGGGGGGGGGGGGGCAGGTGACAGGTTACACCACAATATGGTGCACGTGTATGTTGGTTGTGTGGAGGAGGGGGGGGGGGGGGGGGGGGGGGAGGGAGACTGCGGAAGCAGAAGACAAATATCCAAAAAAATTGTAAAAGCCGCCAAAAAGTCAGCAAAACGAGAAGAGAAACACGAGGAAGAAAACGGGAAGCGGAGACGAGAGATGACGGAGAAGCACGTAGGGATGAAAGAGGTCACCAGATGAGGAAAGGACGAGAGTTGCAGCAGATCCAGACAAGTGTAACGGACAACAAAAGAGGAAACGGTGAAGCCGAGGTGAAGGTGGAAGAGATGAGGAACCGGGAACAAAGAGTTGAAGAGCCAGACACAAAGACGGGCCAAACAATAGATACATAAAGTAAGAAGACAGAAGGAGAGAGAAGCCGCCAACGTCACAGCCCACCGCTCCCCCTCCCGGTCTCTCCCTCTCCCTCTCCCTCTCTCTCTCTCTCTCTTGCTCCTTAGCTGTTCCCGACTGATGAGAAGCTTCAGTCTTCTCCACAAGACGGTCCCTTCCCCGGGCCGGCTGCGCTAACACTCCGATGGAGCTCAACTCCTCCGGCCCGGGGAACTTGTCCAGCCCCGAGCCCAGGGGCCACCGTACGGAGGAGCTGATCATCACGTCCACCTTCTGCACTATCTTATCCTTGATGTACGTCGCCGGCATGGCAGGCAACGTGTACACCTTGGTGGTTATGTGTCACTCCATGAGGTACGCCGCGTCCATGTACATCTCCATCATCAACCTGGCCCTGGCGGACCTCCTCTACCTGTCCAGCATCCCGTTCATCGTCTGCACCTCCTTCATGAAGGACTGGTACTTCGGGGACATCGGCTGCCGCATCCTGCTGAGCCTGGACCTCTTCACCATGCACGCCAGCATCTTCACCCTCACCGTCATGTGCACCGAGAGGTACATGGCCGTCACCAAGCCCCTGGACACCGTGCGGAGGTCCAAAGGCTACCGGAAGTCCATGGCGGTGGCCGTGTGGCTCCTGTCTCTGCTCCTGACGTTGCCCATGATGATCATGATGACGCTGAGGGAGAGCGAGGGCAAAGGGGCGAAGAGGATGTGCGCGCCCACCTGGAGCGAGGACGCCTACAGGACTTACCTGACGGTACTTTTTAGCACCAGCATCATGGCCCCGGGGTTGGTGATCGGCTACCTCTACACCCGCCTGGCCAGGACCTACCTGGAATCCCAGCGGAACCCCATCAGCAAGAAGGAGAACAAGAGGTCCCCCAAGCAGAAGGTGCTCATCATGATCTTCAGCATCGTGCTGGTCTTCTGGGCTTGCTTCCTGCCGTTTTGGATCTGGCAGCTGGTGCGGCTCTACGACGTGTGCCCGCCGCTCTCCTCCCAAACCCAAAAGTGCATTAACTACCTGGTCACCTGCCTGACCTACAGCAACAGCTGCATCAACCCGTTCCTGTACACCCTCCTCACCAAGAACTACCGGGAGTACCTGAAGAACCGCCACAAAAAGTTCTACCGGTTCACCTCGGCCTTCCGGAAAAGGGGGTCCAGCCTGCAGTGCTCCTCCTGGGGCCGTTCCATGTCCTCCAGCAACCACTACGACTACGCGTCGGAGTCTATCGGCATGACCTGCGTCAGGGACATCAAGTGACTGCAGGAGCTCTCAGGTTCGGCACCGGCTTCTCGATCACTGCGGTGCGGGGGGGGGCGGAGCTGACCCGGGTAAGTAATATGGAGAATTTTATTCTTTCACTGCCTTCCTGCTGCTCTCTGTACGCTGCAGAGACATCGCTGTGTGTGTGGCCTTCATCTGTTTTTGCAGTGAGCTCACCGTAAGTTAAGGGGCAGCTGGCTGGGGGGTGAAGGAAGGTGAGGGGAAACCCCTGGCCTAAAGAGGTTTCCTGCTGCTCATCCAGGAAACCCCTTTAATGCAACCAGGAGGCTCACATTTTGCATACAAGCCTCCTCTACGAAAACATTGCAGGCCCCACCCCATTTTGTCCCGGCTGCAGTCATTTTAAGCAAGCCCCGCCTATTTTGCATCCCGTATTACAGGCAGATCAGGTGACCTACAGCTCACTTAAAGAGAACCTGCAATGCTTTTCTTTATTTATTTTACACTGTGAGATGGTGGCCCTTTTTCTTCTCCGCTCCCTAGGCAGCTGCCACCACTGCCTTACCCTGCTCTCCGATCCTTGAAGTGGTCGCGCTTAGCTTCCTGTCACGGAGCAGTCTGCAGCAGTGAACATCAGCTGAACACGCAGTATCTGTGCAGCTTATATAGCGGCGGCGGGCACAGACGCGAGATGCCGGTTGAGGGATCTTAGTGTGAAATGATTGTGGCATAAGCACGCTTGTATTGGCTAAATGATAGAGTGTTCATAAATGCTCCACGTAATGCTGGCCCTTTAAATCACAGAAGAGCGCCGTGTGTAAATATGGATCAGCAAATAGTGTGCGTGCAGCATAAAGATGTGCGTTTATTTAATGATGAATGTTTGCACGGCGGGCAGCCTTATTTACAGTGTCACTTCCACCACCACGCAGTTTACGTTTTCTTCTTCGTTTTCTTCTTCAACGCTGACCTCTGTCCTCCCCTTCAGTCTTCTTTCTGACCTCTGTTCTTGGCTGCGTTCACAAACGTCTGACACGGAGCAGCCCCTGCTGCAGCCTCTCACCTTGTGACTTGTTACAATGTAGCAGACTGATCACTGGGGGAGGGGAGACTGAGGAAATGCTTCCTCCCGCCTGCAGCAGACTGATCACTGGGGGAGAGGAGACTGAGGAAATGCTTCCTCCCGCCTGCAGCAGACTGATCACTGGGGGAGAGGAGACTGAGGAAATGCTTCCTCCCGCCTGCAGCAGACTGATCACTGGGGGAGAGGAGACTGAGGAAATGCTTCCTCCCGCCTGCAGCAGACTGATCACTGGGGGAGAGGAGACTGAGGAAATGCTTCCTCCCGCCTGCAGCAGACTGATCACTGGGGGAGAGGAGACTGAGGAAATGCTTCCTCCTGCCTGCAGCAGTCTGATAACACTATCTCAGCCTAGGCAAAGTCACTGGACCCTTGTTCTCTATGGGAAAGCAGAGGTCTCTCTGCAGAGCTCTGACATTCCCATGTGCTGGGTCAGTAGCTCTGCAGTCAGCAAAGTTCATGCTCCCCGCTCTGACCCAGCTGGGGGTATGTCGGACCTCTGCTGGCAGGTGACGGGCTTCTCTACTCAGGCTCTTACACTGAAGAAAATGACAGGCTAAACACCTTTTGCTGCTGATGCACCTGGAAGGTATTTTGCTCAGCCTTCCTCATCCAGGGTGCCTTCTGCCTTCCTCATCCAGGGTGCCTTCTGCCTTCCTCATCCATGGTGCCTTCTGCCTTCCTCATCCATGGTGCCTTCTGCCTTCCTCATCCAGGGTGCCTTCTGTCTTCCTCATCCATGGTGCCTTCTGCCTTCCTCATCCATGGTGCCTTCTGCCTTCCTCATCCAGGGTGCCTTCTGCCTTCCTCATCCAGGGTGCCTTCTGCCTTCCTCATCCAGTGTGCCTTCTGCCATCCTCATCCATGGTGCCTTATGCCATCCTCATCCAAGTTGCCTTCTGCCTTCCTCATCCAGGGTGCCTTCTGCCTTCCTCATCCAGGGTGCCTTCTGCCTTCCTCATCCAGGGTGCCTTCTGCCATCCTCATCCAGGGTGCCTTCTGTCTTCCTCATCCAGGGTGCCTTCTGCCTTCCTCATCCAGGGTGCCTTCTGCCTTCCTCATCCAGTGTGCCTTCTGCCATCCTCATCCATGGTGCCTTATGCCATCCTCATCCAAGTTGCCTTCTGCCTTCCTCATCCAGGGTGCCTTCTGCCTTCCTCATCCAGGGTGCCTTCTGCCTTCCTCATCCAGGGTGCCTTCTGCCATCCTCATCCAGGGTGCCTTCTGTCTTCCTCATCCAGGGTGCCTTCTGCCTTCCTCATCCAGGGTGCCTTCTGCCTTCCTCATGCAGGGTGCCTTCTGCCTTCCTCATCCAGGGTGATCTAAAGGGAAGAGTCTGATGTCATTTATTGGGGTGTTTTGCAGGGTCCCCCTGCTTAAAGCCACACCAGACCCATATCTAGGATAAGGATATCTATGGATTTTGGAGGGGGGCCACACTTTAATTTTGAACATTTACGTTTTTTGCATGTTATGAGGGACTCCCACCATCCCTGTGCTGAGTTCCCGGGTCTGTACACCTGCTGTGCCCATTATGAGGAGCTCCCACCATCCCTGTGCTGAGTTCCCGGGTCTGTACACCTGCTGTGCCCATTATGAGGAGCTCCCACCATCCCTGTGCTGAGTTCCCGGGTCTGTACACCCGCTGTGCCCATTATGAGGAGCTCCCCCATTCCTGTGCTGAGTTCCCGGGTCTATACCCCTGCTGTGCCCATTATGAGGGGCTCCCACCGTCCCCACTGGATATTATTGAATTGATATTGTGGAAAATGTAACACAATGGTTGGCAGGGACGCCCGGAACTCCCATGTGGGCAGAAGCAGAGTGAGGAATTATGGAAGTCAGATCTCAGCGGTGAGAGACCTATAAGAAGCCGGGAGCTGGCTCAGCCTCCACCAATAAAATACCACGTTTGGGTGGACGGATCGCTCGAGGCCGGTTGTAGACACAATCTGCTGGTGGGCCGGCTTTGTATCGGGTATAAGATCAGTGAACTGTGAAAATACATGTCATTGGTATGAACATAAAGTGTGTCCAAATCAAGGACAGAGAGCAGGAGAGCGGCCGGCATGGTCCGCACATGACTAGGGAGCAGTTTCCTCCCCTGACAGCCCCCCACCATCCAAACAAATAAACTGTAAGTAAAATGTATTAATGAAGTAAATAAGACAAAAGAAGACTCACCTTCATTGGTGGAAGGGCGGGGGTTGTCACTGCCCCCCCTTCTTCCCTCCAGACCACATCCCACAAGAATGCACTGCGGCTATGGGCTGGGAAGCATTCTAATGGGAATTGGAGCATCCAGGGCCGGATTTACTCTCTCTGCTGCCCCAAGGCCAGGTTCCTCAATGCGCCCCCCTACCCAACAACCCCCCCGCCCCCCATGGAGAATAGCAGACCTGCAGGCTGCATACGAGTGATCTCGGCGACAGCGCTGGGATCACTTGTACAAAACAAGCGGCGGCTTCCCCGCTGTACATTTAGCTCTGCTTGCCCAATGCAGGGCTAAATGTAGAAAACAACTACCCGCCCGGAACTGCATGTCCCGTGCATCGGGAGATAGGGATTCCACCCCCCTGCTGCCCCTCTACTCCCTTCTGCCCCGAGGCCGGGCCTTGGTTGGCCTTGTGGGAAATCCGACCCTGACAGCGTCAGCTATTCCAGGAGGCATCGGTAAGGAACGATGACATCCTCTGCGCCTCCCAGAACCCGGGACCAAGGTGAGTATTTTTCTTTTTGTTGGTCATTTTTTCATTTATGACTTTTTTCTGCTTTTTTTCTGGGCAGTGGGGGTCCGGTAGGGAAACGTACTTGGGGAAAGACTGCATTGGGCTTACAGGTTTAATTTCAGTGCTGGCCGGGATGACCAGAAGCTTCAAGGACCCTAAATCTACACACCTAAGAGAGCTAAACAAGGTCTCCATAATGCACCGCCTGCAACGGGGATCTGTGACTAGAAACAACAACATGGGTCACGATCCTGAGGATTCTTTGTGTAAATTTGACGTGGGTCCGCTCTTCTGTAGTGGAACGGTCACGGGGGGTACAGGGTCAGGGTCAGCAGGAACCTCAGCAATCCTAAATGATATAGCATTCGATTTGTGGTATATGCACATGAACACAGGTTTTCTATGTTTCATTTGCCTCAACAGTCCTCTAATGCAGGGCTCTCAAACCTTTTTATCGCCGCGGACCGGTCAGCGTCCTTCAAAATAAAATACAGTTACACCAAAAAATTAATATAAAATGATTTAACATTTTAAATCACTAGAACGCTAAATCAATGAAAACCCTGAGCTTGTTTCTTTGCAACGAGACGGTTCCATCTGGGGGTAATAGGAGACAATGACACCCGAAGTGTGCTGCTTATGTCCAGTTTATTCCGTTGTTTTGTTTTGGTTGCTGTCACTGCAGAAAACCCCGCTTCACACAGATAGGTTGTCGGAAATGGCAATAGGGATTTAAGTGCTGTGGTGGCAATCTCAGGGTATTCCGCTTGCAGCCGCTCAGCTCCAGACGTCACCTAAAAGCGCCCCGATATCACGATATTTTGCACAGGCGCGGTATTGGTGCAGATTTAGGTGACGTCTCTCAGCTCCGGTTAACCTCTCAACCTGGAAAGTCGGACAAACCCGAGAGAAATACACCACAGTAAATCAAATGGAAATAATTTAATGTTCCTTGGGCGGCCCGGGGGTTGGGGACCACTGCTCTAATGGGGCCCCCCTCCACTCCCCATGCCCCTTAAGAGCCACGTGGGCTGCTATGGCTATTGCAATGATCTAAGTCCCTGGGGACAGACATGTTGGAATATGGCCGCTGTGCTTTCTGTGGTGCAGTGGTTGTGCGTGAAACTGAATGGATATGAGAAACAGACAATTTCCTCCTTGCCGGGATTTATGAATGAGCTCCGACGCTTGCCGCTTCCTACACGTCCCCCGGCTGTTGTCACCATTCACGTTCTCCGTCTCACCTAGGCTGAGCCATCTCCAACACCTCTGAGTCAGACA